GAATTAGAATGCTTATTAAAATTTTATTGTTGTAGTTATTGTTATAATTATCATTCTAGGTGTGAACAGCCCTTAACAGTGCTGTCCAGGGTCCTGAAAATAATGGTTCTATACATTTAAAATGTACTTAGAAAGGCATTCCGCAGTACCCAAGATCAATATTTCTGTCAATCTCTGAGAATGTCACTTTCTTGGGACTTTCAAAAACCTTAGTGTTCTAACTGTTTCTGAAAATGCTTTCACGTCCTGAAAACAAAACTGCCTGCCCTATTTGCTGATTTTACAGGGGGTATTGAAAGCCTTGTCAAATTTTTTATGGATACTACAGTACCATACAGCAGAGATTTAGCCTTGTGTTCTTTGTATTGCCTTTAGCAGTCATTTATAATGGTGACAGGCGAACTCTGATTCTCTAACTCTGTGATTCTGTGAGAAAGAAAGATGCTTTCTTGATGGTTCAAACTGGTCCACATTGTGTTCAGTAGGACTTCACTACTGAGTAATTTTGAAGCTCCAAGCAGTTACCTATACTACTCCACAGGTGCAGCATTAGCTAGCAGCTCTGATCTGTTAATGAAAGTTTTTTCTTTTCTTTTTTGCCTGCATCTGGCAGAGATTGTTTCAATACAGATGTGTATCCATTTAGTTTAGAGAGCTGTTCATTAGGGGATGCCCTAACAAATCTGTTCTCCCAGTGATTTCTGTCAGTGACGGCAGGCTTGGCAAAATGAGGCTTTGGACGCATTACCAGTGTAAACAAAGAGGTCTGTTAATGCATTGACGTCTGGACACTACAACATGGCTGATGTCATCTCTACTGCAGAATCTCCTCTGTATATAAAGACTGAGAAAGTGGTAGTGTAGAGAACGCGAGTGTTGCATCCGTATGTTGGCCTACTTGGTTGGTTGCAAGAAATAAATGTAAGACCAAAGGAAAGCTAGAATGTAAAAATGAAATATTACATATTTCATGTCAAAGCATTGTGACACAAAAATTAAACTAATGAGTTCAGGACATTACCCAGGTTGCTTAGGCCAGTGAGGTAATGATTTGGGGACAAAAGCACATTTGTGCCTGCCGTCAGACCTCTGCACTGCTCTCCATTTTGAGCCCGCTCCAAATTGTTTTTACCAGATTAATAAAATGATGCTGGGAACTTTGGGTTTGTTCATTCCCCTGTGTCTGAAATTTGGACAATAGGCAAATGAATGAGAACGAGAGGAGGAGTTTTTCTTCTGTGTTCTGTCTGTCCAGACTTCTGTTGGCTTAACCAAGTGTCTGCAGATATTAACCTTTGTCCCTGCAGGTGTTCCCAACGTCAGCTACTACTCTGGACAAGTTCAGAAATATTGGTCTTCATCTGACCTTGAAAAACATATCGGTAGCTGTGTGGGATGTTTACTTGATATGACTAATGTTGCTTTAAGATGAAATGGTAGATCTGATAGATATTTAGTGCTTTAGTTTGTGACAGCTGGTCATGAAGAAACCAGATGTCTGTCTTTGCTTCGGACTCTGATGACAAAGTCACAAGTTCACAACAAGGACATTTAGTGGAGAGGATCATTTGTTGTGAGGTCTGTAAATATGTATGCAGTGAAAGGACCAGTTGTGTTGTTGGTTGTAATAAGTAGTTTACTAAAACACATTTGCCAATTCTCTTTGTCCTCATTGAAAAGACTTAATATAGAAAAAAAATACACAGTTTCTGCTTTTGAATTGAATGAGTCCAGTAATGTGCATATGCATTTGCGTTTGAACTTTTGTCATTTTGTCACATTTTTGTGAACTATTCAAGTGTCTGATTTGGTCACTGTTCCACTGTAATTCAGGGTTGTGCACCGTTGAGAAATGAACTGAGAATGTATTTGAAATTCTTATTCAGTTCCTGAATTTTAACTGAATTTGAAGCTAAGTTGTAAATAGGATACTGAGTTGCAATTCATTTTTAAATGTAATGAAGTAGAATTGAAATGAATTGAAATTCAAAGAAATTCATATGTCTGTATAACAAAAACTGAATGTTGGTTCAACAAAGCCTTGGTTGAAAGATTAAAAAGTTTATGATTGAAGATAATAAATTACCAGTGTTTTTCAGTTAAACTTCAATTTAACTAAATTTGACAATTCAACTGATATTCATGAATTGATAGAAACACGATTCTTCATTTCTGAATTTTGGACAACCCTGCTACAAGTGCATCCAGACAGAAAAGGGGCAATTAATTAAATTTCTTTGCTTTTGTTTTTCCATTTTTCAACAGTCAATCAAAGTCTGATGCCTTTTGGAGAGTCACATTCTCACACTCCCCAGTTGGTAGTCATCCCTGAGATACCTGATGATCATCTTCCTGTTGATGGGGAGAATGTTGTAGCAAGTGGAGATACCATGACCCCAACAGTCAGCTTCATAAATGGCAAGTTTGAGGTGACACTTCAGCCTAAAGATGTGGCAGAAGTTAGAGGAGATACGTTTGGAAGTGATTCTCTTGGAGTACACAACTTAAGTGAACAAGAAGAAGCAACATTTAAATTTGATAGTTCATTAGTGGAGGCTGGCAGAACACCACATGAATCACTGGCTTCAGGATCCTCAGTAATGTCCCCCTTGTATTCCACAACCCTTCATCCGGACATTAATTTTGGCCCAGGAGGAATATTGGTAGAGTCCACTCCGCCATTTCCTCCCATAGCAATTAGCGAAGAGGAAACACTTGTATCTGAAGGAACTGTCATGCCAAACATTTTAACCTCCACCACTGAAAAGCAGCCTTCTGTAAAACCAGTACTCCCAATTAGATCAACAGATATTCCATTAGATCATGATGACACTACTAATTCATCTATATCTTCTTCAGTGCACAGTACTGGATCAGTAACAGAGGACAAAGTCAAAGATACAGTCGTTACAACACAGGTCATGGGAATGACAACTCAGAAAGATGACTCAATCAAAAAGACAACACACACGGGTGTTTCTGGCCTAGGGCCTACTTCTGCACATATGAACCGTTTGGATACAGATGAATCAGGCTTGAGTGTTCAGACAACTAAAGAGTTTAATTTGACATTACCAACTCAAGTACATAGTACAACAGCAACAAGAAAAAAGGACATACCATTTACATTTGCACCATCATCAAGTGAGACTGTTAAAATGCAGAAAGAGGCAACTTCAGAATTCATGACGCCATCAACAAAGATTTTAGAAATGACAACAGCAAAACATAAGCTTTCACCATCACATTTTTCTTCTGTTTTACCATCTTCAGAGGCTTCAGGAGATGAGACTTTGTTTAGAACCGCAACAATAAGTTCTGCATTGTATACAATAACTAAACCAGACCAAGAACTGAGCAAAACCACAAAAAAAATCTCAGTGTCCGGCTCAACAGATGTTGAGATCACAAGAGATCAGACAACTGAGAGACATAGTAAAAAACCTGTTTCCACTCTTGACTCTACTGAAACTAGCACAGAACGCACATTTATATCATTGAGCACTGGGTCTCTAGTTCCGACTGAAAGCACAGAAATAATCTCAGGGTCCAGCTCAGCAGATGCCGAGAATACAGGAGAACAGACAAATGAGGCATATAGTAGAGAACATGTTTCCTCTCTTGACTCCACTGTAACTACTACCATCAATAGATTTACATCATTGAGCACTGGGGACTCGACAGGACAAACTGACACAAGTCAAGATATATCACATACAGCAACAACCACAGCTACTCTGATGGAGGACAAAGATCTGTTAGCAAAACCATCTGAATCCACCATCATTAATGTTACAGATACTCTTTTCTCCTCTGCTCAGACTGTACATTTAGAAGAGACATTATCTGAAAACACTGTTACAAGCACAATGATTACAGAAAAGACAACTGCCAAAGATGTGCTGTCACCATCACATTTTACGTTAGTTTTGGCATCTTCTGAGCCTGAAGCTTCAGGAGATGAGACCTCTGACATATTTAGCAAGAAGTTCACAACAAGTCCTTCATTGTACAGCGCAACCAAATCAGATCCAGATGACACCAAAACCACAGCGACAATTTCAGTGTCCAGCTTAACAGATGCTGAGGCTACAAGAGAAAAAACTGATCACTCAACAGTAAGAACAGTCACAAGTCAAGATATTACATTTCACACAGTAACAGCCGCAGCCATAACCATTGATGCTACAAAGACTCTGTTCTTCTCCACTCAGACTGAACATTTAGATGAGAAATTATCTGAAAGCAGTGCCACATTGACCTCAGAGATGACAACAGTAAAAGATGAACTGTCACTTTCAAGTTTTGCTTCAGTTATGCCATCAACAGAGTATGAAGCTTCAGGAGATGAGACATCTGCCATGTTTATCAAAGAATTTACAACAAGTTCTTCATTGTACAGCACAACCAAATCAGACAAAGAACTCAGCAAAACCACAGAAACTATCTCAGGGTCCAGTTCAACATATGCTGATATCAAAAGAGATCAGATGACTGAGGGACATAGTAGAGGACCCGTTTCCTCTATTGGCTCTACTTCATCTAGCATAGTACATACATTTGAATCATTGAGCAATGGGGACTCAACAGCACGAACAGTCACAAGTCAAGATGTTACTTCACATACAGCAGCAATCACAGCTACTCTAATGGAGGACAAAGATCTGTCAGCAAAACCATCTGAATCCACAATCATTAATGTTTCAGAGACTCTGTTCTCCTCTGCTCAGATTCAACATTTAGATGAGACATCATCTGAAGATCTCAGGGTCCAGTTCAACATATGCTGATATCAAAAGAGATCAGATGACTGAGGGACATAGTAGAGGACCCGTTTCCTCTATTGGCTCTACTTCATCTAGCATAGTACATACATTTGAATCATTGAGCAATGGGGACTCAACAGCACGAACAGTCACAAGTCAAGATGTTATTTCACATACAGCAGCAATCACAGCTACTCTAATGGAGGACAAAGATCTGTCAGCAAAACCATCTGAATCCACAATCATTAATGTTTCAGAGACTCTGTTCTCCTCTGCTCAGATTCAACATTTAGATGAGACATCATCTGAAAGCACTGTTAAGATGATTCCAGAGAAGACAACTGCCAAAGATGTACCATCATCAAGTTTTTCTTCAGGTTTGCCATCTACAGAGTCTGAAGCCTCAGGAGATGAGACCTCTGATATGCTTAACAAAGAGTTCACAACCACAAGTTCTTTACTTTATACTCCAACCAAATCAGATCATGAACTTACCAAAACATCATCTGACAGAACAGAAACAATCTCAGTGTCCAGCTACACAGATGCTGAAGTTACAAGAGCTCAGACAACTCAGACACATAGCAGAGAAACTGTTTCCTCTCTTGAATCTACTGTAACTAGTACTGTACATACAATTTCATCACCAAACACTTGGGACTCTACGGGAGAAACAGTTACAAGCAAAGATGTTAAATCTCATACCGCAGCAACCACAGCTACTCTAATGGAGGAGAAAGATCTGTCAGCAAAACCATCTGAATCCACAATCATTAATGTTTCAGAGACTCTGTTCTCCTCCGCTCAGACTGGACATTTAGATGAGACATTATCTGAAAGCACTGTTACAATGATTCCAGAGAAGACAACTGCCAAAGATGTGCTGTCAACATCAAGTTTTTCTCCAAGTTTGCCATCTACAGAGTCTGAAGCTTCAGGAGATGAGACCTCTGATATGTTTAGCAAAGAGTTCACAATGACGACAACTTCACTTTATACTCCAACCAAATCCGACACTGAACTTATCAAAAAAACATTATCTGACATGACAGAAAAAATTTCAGTTTCCAGCTCAACAGATGCTGAAGCTACAAGAGATCAGACAACTGAGACACATAGTAGAGAATCTGTTTCTTCTCTTTATTCTGCTGTAACTAGTACTGTACATGCATTTTCATCACTGAGCACCAGGGGCTCAATAGAAGAAACAGTTACAAGTAAAGATGTCACATCTCATTCAGCAACAACCACAGCTACTCTAATGGAGGAGAAAGATCTGTCTGCAAAACCATCTGAATCTACAATCATTAATGTTTCAGAGACTCTGTTCTCCTCTGTTCAGACTCGACATTTAGATGATAAATTATCTGAAAACACTGTTACAGTGATCTCAGAGAAGACAACTGTCAAAGATGTACTGTCACCAAGTTTTTCATCAAGTTTGCCATCTAGAGAGTCTGAAGCTTCAGGAGATGAGACCTCTGATATGTTTAGCAAAGAGTTCACAACCACAAGTTCTTCACTTTATGCTCCATCCAAGTCAGACCAAGAATCTGCCAAAACATCATCTGACACGACAGGAACAATCTCAGTGTCCAGCTCAACAGATGCTGAAGCTACAAGCGATCAGCCACCTGATGTGCTTAGTAGAGAACCTGTTTCCTCTCTTAACTCTACTGTAACTAATACTGTACTTACGTTTACATCATTAAGCACTGGGGAATCAACAGGACAAACAGTTACAAGTAAAGATGTTAAATCTCATACAGCAGCAACCACAGCTACTCTAATGGAGGAGAAAGATCTGTCAGCAAAACCATCTGAATCCACAATCATTAATGTTTCTGAGACTCTGTTCTCTTCTGCCCACACTAGACATTTAGATGAGACATTATCTGAAAGCACTGTTAAGATGATTCCAGAGAAGAGAACTGCCAAAGATGTACCATCATCAAGTTTTTCTTCAAGTTTGCCATCTACAGATTCGGAAGCTTCAGGAGATGAGACCTCTGATATGTTTAGCAAAGAGTTCACAACGACAAGTTCTTCACGTTATACTCCAACCAAATCAGATCATGAATTTACCAAAACATTATCTGACATGACAGAAAATATCTCAGTTTCCAGCTCAGCTGATGCTGAAGCTACAAGAGATCAGACAATTGAGACACATAGTAGAGAATCTGTTTTGTCTCTTGACTCTACTGTAACTAGTGCTGTACATACATTTTCATCACTGAGCACCAGGGGCTCAACAGGAGAAACAGTTACAAGTAAAGATGTTACATTTCATTCAGCAACAACCACAGCTTCTCTAATGGAGGAGAAAGATATGTTAGCAAAACCATCTGAATCCACAATCATTAATGTTTCAGAGACTCTGTCCTCCTCTCCTCAGACTCGACATTTAGATGAGAAATTATCTGAAAGCACTGTTACAATGATTCCAGAGAAGACAACTGCCAAAGATGTGCTGTCAACATTAAGTTTTTCCCCAAGTTTGCCATCTACAGAGTCTGAAGCTTCAGGAGATGAGACCTCTGATATGTTTAGCAAAGAGTTCACAGCAACAAGTTATTCACATTATTCTTCAACCAAATCAGACCATGAACTTACAAAAACATCATCTCACACGACAGAAACAATCTCAGTGTCCAGCTCAACAGATGCTGAAGCTACAAGAAGTCAGTCAACTGATGTGCTTACTAGAGAACCTGTTTCCTCTCTTTACTCTGCTGTAACTAATACTGTACGTAAGTTTACATCATTAAGCACTGGGGAATCAAGAGGAAAAACTGTTACAAATAAAGATGTTACATCACACACAGCAGCAACCACAGCTACTCGAATGGAGGAGAAAGATCTGTCAGCAAAACCATCTGAATCCACAATCATTAATGTTTCAGAGACTCTGTTCTCCTCTGCTCAGACTGGACATTTATATGAGAAATTATCTGAAAGCATTGTTACAATGATCTCAGAGAAGACAACTGCAAAAGATGTACCGTCATCAAGTTTTTCTTCAAGTTTGCCATCTACAGAGTCTGAAGCTTCCGGAGATGAGACCTCTGATATGTTTAGCAAAGAGTTCACAACCACAAGTTCTTCACTTTATACTCCATCCAAGTCAGCCCAAGAATTTACCAAAACATCATCTGACATGGTAGAAAAAATCTCAGTGTCAAGCTCAACAGATGCTGAAGCTAAAATGGATCAGACAACTGAGACACATAGTAGAGAAACGGTTTCCTCCCTTGACTCTACTGTAACTAGTACTGTACATACATTTTCATCCATGAGCACTGGGGACTCAAAAGGAGAAACAGTTACAAGTAAATATGTTACATCACCTATAGCAACAACCACAGCTACTATGATGGAGGACAAAGATCTGTCAGCAAAACCATCTGGATCCACTATTATTAATGTTTCAGAGACTCTGTTCTCCTCTGCTCATACTGGACATTTAGATGAGACATTATCTGAAAGCACTGTTACAATGATATTGGAGAAGACGACTGTCAAAGATGTACTGTCACCATCAGGTTTTTCTTCAAGTTTGCCATCTACAGAGTCTGAAGCTTCAGGAGATGAGACCTCTGATTTGTTTAGCAAAGAGTTCACAACAAGTTCTTCACTTTATACTCCAACCAAATCAGATCATGAACTTACCAAAACATCATCTGACACAACAGAAACAATCTCAGTGTCCAGCTCCACAGATGCTGAAGCAACAAGAGATCAGACAACTGACCTGACCAATGCAAACTCAGTGTGGTTCTCAACAAATATCCCAAGAATTAAGCCAACAGAGAGACATCACACAGAATCTGTTTCCACTTTTGTCTCTAATATCTCAGAAGAAAAAGTTCAGCAAGAGGTTTCCAGTGATGAAGTCAGAATTACACTGACAACTAAAGCATATGATCATTATATTGTAGCCACTGATGAGGCAGAAATTCATGAGACTGACCACGAATCAGAGCCAGCAAAACCTGACAGTTCTTCACATTCCACTTCATCAACAAATGGATTGTTTTCAAGCACTGTTCAAACTGTAGTTACAGACTTGTCTTCTGAACAAGGTAGTGGAGATATTGCAGAAAATGAAGTGGCTGAAGATGATGGCTCTGTTGAAATATCATCTGCTGTTGTAGAATCAATACCTCACATTCCAACACCATCAGAGGACAAGCCAACTGCTGTTGGTTTTGAGTCAGCTCCTGCTTCTGGAGTGCAGCCATCAGAAAACATAACAGCAACAACAAATTTTACAATAACTGTAAGTGGAGAACCTATAGCAAGCTCATTTTTTACACTCACAGAGGTAGAAGGCTCTGGTCAGCAGACACCAGAGAGGTTCACCACAGCTCCCTCATCTATGATCAGAACAGTCACAAGTCAGGAAGTCATGACATCTCAAAGAGAGTTTGCCTCTTCAATGACTGAATTTAGAGAAGAACCTAGCTCCCACCATGCAACAGAAGTAGTTAGCTCAAGTTACACAACAACAGAGCCGGTTAGTACAAGACTCGCAGAGATCTCAGTGTCTTCTAGACCTTCTCATACTATTACTCAATCACAGTTGACTAAACACACCGCAGAATCAATTATTAGTCATACTGCAATTGGATCAGGTAAACCTAGTCTCACTTTAGTGGCAACAGAAGATGACAACACCGCACCTTCAGCTATCCAAACAACGACTGTTCCTTTCAAGCACATCCAAACATCAACAGTCACTGCCAGTTACGAAGCAACTTCAGCTCTTCTCAGGACAAAAACAATGTTTACATCTTCTAGCAAAAGCCATAGCATTCACACAACAATTTCATCTGATGCAGAGGATGACACAACAGATGATGAAGGATCAGGGGTGTCCCCTGTCATGCATGTTTCATCAGCAGCCATCAAAACTCAAACTGGTTCTCCTACAGTTCTTATAACTAGCACTGGCTTCACAGAACTCGACAAAGACATCACCATAACACAAAATTCAAGCCCTATCACATCTGCCTTTGTAGACAGAGAAGGCTCTGGTATTGTAGAAGATGACCAAGAAACTACTCAACTAGAAGGTTCTGGTGAAGAGGACAGTCTGAGTCCAACAGAGGAAATGTCTGACAATTATACTGATGAGGCAGAAATCAGTGAGGCTAACCGCACATCAGAGCCAGGGAGTTTTGTAAGTTCCTCCCATTCCACGTCCTTCACAACTAAATCAACGTTGTTGTCTAGCACTGTCCAAACAGCAGTGAGATCGTTATTTACTGAAGGTAGTGAAATAACAGCTGAAAGTGAAGTGGATGAAGATGATGGCTCTAGTGGTGAAATATCCCCAGCAGCTCTTGAGTCAATTCCTCCTCAATATATACCCTCTGAGGACAAAACAACGTCAACTACAGTCACACAACCACAGATAACTGAAGCTGCAACACCTGCTGTAATACTGTCAAGCACATCTGAGGCTTTATCAGGTTCTGAGACTCTAAAGAGTACCTTACAGCCAAACACTCCAGAAACCGATTTAAATGGGTTTGAATTATCAACCACAGAGGATGACAAGGAATTTACCTCACCAGGAGATCCTACTGCTGAGATATACAAAACATCAACAACTAAGGCATATGAGGACCTAACTGTAAGAACTGATGAGGCAGAAGTTGAAGAGATGGAGAAGAAAACAGGTTTCTCGAGTGCTGCATCTGTCACTAGCAGTACAGATTTAACACATCAGTCAACTTTATCCCCATCTCTCTCATTCCTGACCTCTACCCAGTCAACTCTAATGCTTGCAACTTCACTTTCAGAGGATGGTATTGGGGAAGACTCAACTGAGGGGGATGGAGCAGAAGATGATGGATCAGGTGATGATTCAACTCTTGTGACATCTTCACCTTTGCTATCAAGCTCAAAGATGACAGAAACAACCATTAGCATGACACCCTTTAGCTCAGTCAACAGTGGACAGTACAGTATAGTCAGAGTTGTTTCACAGGGACACACGTTCTCAAGCACAAATGCTAAAGATTTCTCGGTCCCAGTGACAGCACCGACAGAGCAGGAGCATTCTGGAGTTTCTGTCTCAGATATAGCAGCCACTAGCTTTACAACTCCTGGAACACCATCTGGTGTGATAACAAACCACACTAAATTGCCTTCTTTCGTGACACCTCAAGATCCTGTGTCCACCACTACTCCATTGGTCTTATCTAAGGACAGTGCTGATCAGCAAGTCACTCCGACATGTCCAGTCTTAATATTCACAGAGGAGGAGGAAGATGAAGATAAGCTACTTTCAACTGTCACAGAGCGTATAAGAGATGATAGCATCAAACCAGAAGTTTTCACTAAGGATGACATGATTATTGATGCAGATACTTCGTCTGTTTTAGAGCAGGCTTCTCCCTTCGCCCCTACAATTGTTACAGAAGAAGCAGCTGGGGTAACCCCAGTTGTCATGACGGCACAACCCTCAAGCTTTATGACAGAGGAGCCAGAAGGATCTGGAATGAATGGCACTGAGTTACCTCATTTACGTGTGTCATTTGAAACCACAACAGACAGGTTAATAGTTCAACAAACCCAATCAACCGCAGACATCCTGCTGAGCAGTTCAACATATTTAGAAGAGGACACACAAGCAACACAATCTCCTGAGGCTACTGATGCTGATGTGCCTGAACACACACAAGATGGTCAGACCTCCACAGAACTTACAGACACTTTGTCTACGGATGATTGTATTCTGGAAACATCCACTTTAACCCCCATGACATCTCAAGTGTCCACTGACAGAATCACAGAAATGTTCTCAGCTGAAGAGGACTCATCTGAAGATGTATCAACACATACTGGAGATCATGTAACATCTGCCCCATCAAGTTCTGGAGAAAGTGTTTCTTCACAATATCCAGGTGATATCACAGACTCTGAACAGTCAGTTTCTCCAGTATTGGATTTAACAAGCACTGCATCTTTCCATATTGCATCAAGTGCTAGCATGACTGAACCTGCCAAAACGACTACAAGTACATACACAAAAACAGCAGCAACTGATGATAATGACTTAACAGCTGACACAGAGGAAACAGTGTACATGACAAGTGCTGATGACATTGAACTCAGTAGTCCCTCTACCGATAAGGTAATTCAGGGAAGTGAATTAACAAGCACAGATGTATCAACTAGATCTGGTATTTCAGAGGAAACCACAAGTGCGTTATTTTCTTCAACAGATTATGGCTCAGGTGATCAAACAATTGAAATGGTTACAGGACTGTCTGATTTAACAGACTCTCCTTTAATATCTGAAGATGATTTGTTGTCATCATCTATGGAGAGTGATATTGTGATTCACTTTGCAACAACCTCTTTGCCTGAAGCAATTACAGTAACTGATGGGGAACCATATCACCAAGCTTTGTCTGAGATGACAGTGACACATAAACCCAACACAGACATCAGGATTGATGAAGATGTGCCATCTCCATCAACAACCATTCCCACACCTCTTATATCTGCATCAAAGTTTAATATGACTACAGACACAGTAACATTAGTGGGATCTCTTTCATCTACATCCATACCAGGGCTGGGTGACAAAACAGGAGCTCCACTTTCCTCTGAGGAAGAGACAGATGAAATAATCGATTATGATACAAAAACTGAACCTTACATAACAGTATATTCCATACCAGATTTAATGAACAAAACAAACACTGACAGTGAGACTGACTTAGACGTTAGCTCAGAAGATGTCACTAGGATTTATGACATCACCCAACCTGAAGGTGAAAAGAGTTTCCCCACCTCACAGCCTGATGTTGAGACTGGTTTTGAGACCACCTCACAGCCTGATGTTGAGACTGGTTTTGAGACCACCTCACAGCCTGATAGTGAGACTGGTTTTGAGACCACCTCACAGCCTGATGTTGAGACTGGATTTGAAACCACCTCACAGCCTGATGTTGAGACTGGTTTTGAGACCACCTCACAGACTGATAGTGAGACTGGTTTTGAGACCACCTCACAGCCTGATGTGGAGACTGGTTTTGAGACCACCTCTCAGCTTGACACTGAAACAAGATTTGAGACTACCATGCAACCAGACATTGAGAGTGAAACTACTTTTGAGAGTGTCTCAAGAACTGAGAGTGATGCTTCATTCACCAGCTCACCAAACAGTGGAACAAGTGGTTCAGAGAGAAGCACATCTGGGGAGGTAAACACCATATCTTCCAATAAGCATCACACCACAACCAGACTTTCTAATTTCACAGATAAACCAAGATCCGCTGCTATAAGTGAAGAGAAATTCTTGGAAGAAAGAGTTGACACAGGATTCAGCAGCACCATACAACCTCAATTTGATGGTTCTGTAACTTCCATTAGTTTGAAGAGCTTCTCAGAGGAGGATTCGGTTATTATCTCATCATCTGATGAGGTTCAGGCAGTAATTCGGTCTACTGCAACAACCTCACCTTTAATTATGACACCTGAGTCTGATATAAAGATTGTTAGTAAGGAAACTGCATCAAGGAAACAAGAGGCAGCTGGTCAGATTGAGGAAGCTGTAACTCTTACATCTGAGATTCCAATTCAAAATGAAGATCAGATTACATTGTCAGTACCTACCACCCAGAGCGAGATTACAACACCATTTCCCTCCCTTGAAGACCTTTCTGAGGCCACTTTGGTTAAAAGCCCACCTCCAAGTGCACAGAATGAAAGCACAACACACAGTACAGCAGACCTTCCATACACAATGATCGGGCAGACATTTGATATTCCAGGTAGGATGTAAACACTGTATTAAAGACCCAATTAACAGAATGCATATACTGTACTTTCTATACCTATACCATTATTTTTGTATGACATGCTTTTATCCTCCCTCTCTTACTGCAGATGTTCACTCCTGTTCTGATGATGTTTGCTTGAATGGCGGTTCTTGTGTAAAAATAGGTGGTGTTCAGATCTGCAGCTGTCCACTTGGATATAATGGTAACCAGTGTGAAATAGGTATGCTGTATTAGTGTTTCATTCATTTATTAAAGGTGCACTACAGAACTTTGTGCTCAATATTGCCATCTGTGGCGAAACATAAACTTACAAGTTACATATTTTGCATCAGCTTTGCTTGGCACTGCTGTTCTGCTTGAATGAATTTGATAGTTTGAGCCATGAAGTAGCATGTCTGTCGCTGTAGTACCAGACCTTCTTTACTCTATTTATGGAAATTATGTAACTATACCCAGGCTAATGCTGTAAACCAGAAATTTCCCTTCAAATTCATGACTGCCTAAAATATCAATTATTATTGTATACTTAACAGTTTTTGTCTTACCCTGATTCACTTAGGCATCAAACACTTATTTTTTATTTCTTGATCGATAATGGGATTTTGCTCAATTTTAAACAAAAAAGTCTTCTGTAGTGCACCTTAAAATTCTCATTAACTCCAACTAATTGTAATGCACATAAGTAAATTATTTAGTCGCCTTATTTTAATTTATTTTTTATAGATATTGATGAATGTCACACAAACCCTTGTCGTAATGGAGGAACATGTATTGATGGCCTTAACTCATTCACCTGTGTATGTCTTCCAAGTTATGCAGGAGCACTGTGTGAGCAAGGTAAGATCATATTAATTTAACATAATCACTTGTTCAAGTTCAACTTGCTGATAACTTGTGAAGCTACTTTAGCCACAGAGACTGCTGTGAAGATATACCATGTAAACCTCAAAATATTCAAATGATTTCATCGTTAATAAAAATACTCAGACATTCCTGGCAGATATGAGTTTGGTAAATGTGACTCATGGTTTGGTAGATCCTGATAGATAATAGATTTTTACTTGATGTAAGAAATTGGGTTTGTTCCAAAACTGTTGTATGCTAGCAGACATACATAATTATGCTGTACTTTCCACTATTTAAGAGGATACAGTTTTTTAACCTTCTCATTTGAGCACAGCTGTTAAGACCATCACTCTTTCTCTTATTACTCTGTAGATATTAATTTACACTTTACATGAGTGAGGTTACTTTCTTGAGAGTTTTATCCCCTTCAAAGTATTTGTACACAATAACATTTTAACAGTGAAATCTCTTCAGTTTAACTAGCATCTGGCTTTTGTCAGAATTAAAACAAATGAAAGCCGATGTCATGAGTGCATTACTCTCTTGAGTACTCTGAACATGATTTTCATCTCAAACTTGAGATAGCATCAACATTACAGACACAAAGAAGTCTCCTGCACAGTGGCTTAGTCTCAGCTGCTTACAGAGAAAGCAGAAATGCAAAAAATGCCACTAAATGCAATAAATGCTAAATGATAAGCCAAAAATCACAAGTTAACATTGCTTCATGTATTTTCACATGCATTTGTACTGATGCTATGGATGATTTGATGGTTAATGATATATTAATGAGAGTTTTAATAGTTTTATTATTTGGTATAGTTTATTCTTTGTTGCAGTAGTGACACATCAGGACCTGACATTTTCCCTCCTGCATGTTAATTGCAGAAAGTTTTGAGAGACCCCCCCCCCACCAATTAGTGGTTCTGTCAGGGCAAGACTGCTATAATCACAGTGATTTCAAACAAGAAATCAAAGCTCTCAGCTTGATGTTGAACAGCCCTGGGTTGATCCACAAACAGTCAGTAAGTGCGTTTACAAGCACTTTAAAAGTTTGCTTTCAGCTGAACTAAAACAATAATTTGTCTTTCTAAAATATCATGTGAGTCTGACTGAAGTTTTACCAGCAGAGACTGTAGCTCAAAAACCAGCTTTAGCTTGATTATAACAGTGCACATAAACATACTTACTGTGACTGATAGGACACACTTTATTTGCAAATTTAATATGATCATAGTATCAAATGCTGATCTATGAACTTTAAAATCCTTTGTCAACAAGACTAATAAATTGCTGGGTTCATAATATGCTTACTTTAAAACTATGAGTTTTTCCAAATGGTTAGTGACTGTTTTACAGGTCTGCTTTGATCCAATGCCTCTTTCTTAAACAATGCCTCAGAGCAAAGCACCCAATCTTCACCATGGCACTGTAGCCATTCTTAAGGAAAAAATGAATTGGCTTCCTGATATGATAGACACAAGGTTGTAGCTCTTGCTCTAAGTGTTCTAGTTTAACTGACATGTAATTTAAAACGAGGATGAAAGGGAGTTATAACATATTCCCACAGGTCCAGTGTGAGTGAGAAATCTGAACAAAAAAACAAAGGTTTGATTTATTTTACTGATAACAGCCTCACAGTGTAAGCCCAAAGGTAAAGGACTAATAAAAAGAAATTGACAGTAGACAATATCAAGCACCTTTTTTCACTTCCAGCAGCAGGATTATCTCAGTTTCAGTGTCTACATGTCAAGTTTATGTGTAGCGCAGCAACAAAAACTCACACATGATTTTCTACAGACACTGAAACATGCAGCTACGGCTGGCACAAGTTCCAGGGCCACTGCTACAAATTCTTTCCTCATCGGCGTAACTGGGACACAGCAGAGCGTGAATGTCGTCTCCAGGGGGCACACCTTGCTAGTGTCCTGTCCCATGAGGAGCAGCAGTACATCAACCGTGAGTATACATAAACCAAGTTATGGTCATTCTGTCTAATATCATCAGCTCTAATCAATTACATGCAAACTAACAGTTATTTATGAGGAAGGATAATGTGGATGATGTTTTTTGTTTTACTTCTCACTACAAAAGTGATCAGAGTTATGGAATATTCCACTGGCTCAGGAATTTTTAGCCAAAGAGGACTTTAGAGTTTAAAGAAAGGTTAGTTTATCACCAATAACAAAGGGGCCAAATGCTGCTCCAGCCCTAGATGCAGGAAGTGTGATGTATAAGAACAAAAATGCCTTTTATTTTTAACCACTGACAAAGAGTTCCTAATATGGCTGGTGAATTGACTTTTGTTTCTCTCTCCTCTTGTAGGCCTTGGCCATGACTACCAGTGGATCGGTCTGAATGACAAAATGTTTGAGAATGATTTCCGGTGGACGGATGGTAGTGTTGTGGTAAGAACAGCCTTCAAAATGTTCTTATTCTGTTTTAGAAAGATGGTATTGATACACACATTTATTAGTGGACAATGTAGAGGAAATATTTATAAAGTCTCCTTGTATTTTCCATGATGCTTGCAGATTTTTTTCTTTAAAAAGCTATTAATTTAAATAACATTGGTAATATTAGCAAGGATTTGTTAATGTGAAAAAAAGTAAAACAGGAGACAACCATCTCCCTGGTTCTAGAGGTGTTCCTCCATTGAACAGGAAAGTGGCTAATTACAGTCGTTTAGTCCTGACTGGGATCTCACTTCAAAGATAATGGCAGCATTTTGTGGGGAAGGGCCAAAAAGCCCTGGAGGGCAGGCGATAGGAGTTTTCATCTGTGGAAGTTCTCTCAGGACTGGAGGATCAAATAAATAAGGGTAGAGGAAGATTACAGGTGTGGACAGGTAATGGAGGTGTGAAGGATGAGCAGCACCTGGAACAGGCTACACTAGATACAGTCCAGACCTAAAATGTGAGTGTGTGACAGTTCAGTCCAGTTGGCATCAGTGAGGGGCTATAAACATGTCCTCTGGAGTTTGCAAGCACTCTTATTGTATTCTGTATACAGAAGAGTTACTATATTAAGAGTTGATGTTTGGTAATGTATTTAAGTATGTGCCATTGTAGTTATCCAGAGGGTCAAAAATTGCATTACGTCAATTTTCAAGCAGGAAGCGCACATTCCTTTTGTAAGAGGATAATAACAGGACTTGTTGGGTGATTGGTGTAGTATTCAAAGGGTTGCTGAAAGACCAGAGCTCCAACCTGTCTCGGTTGGGTATAATTACGTAATGTTTAATATATGTGCAAACTTCACAGTTTTAATTTAGGATAAAAAAATAGATACGGAAGAGTGCCAATATACATTTTAAATTCATATTATTGTTATGTTAAAACAATATACTGTACAATTTAATCTCCGCAGACTTAGAGTCTGTTGTGTAGTTGCAGTATAAACAGTATCTGGAATAGTACTTCAGAACACTTTAAATCTGTTTAAATATATCAGCTCAAGTCCACTGTAAAGTGTTTGTCTTTGCAGGCTTTATTAGATACTTTCTTTATAGGTTGGTCTTTTCAATTGCTACTCTCTTCTCAGTGCATTCACCCACAGCTGAGAGAGATGACGGATGTGTATGAAGGGGGGGAAATACACTGAATAAAGTTTGTCCATGATGGATGAATATAGATGTATTACTATAACTACAACTATAACTACTATCTTCCAAATGCATTATACCACTCACTGCAGCTGCTTATTGCAGTTTAGTGGTGATGTGGGTACTTAGCGCCCCCTACTGGAGTGTGTCTGTATCATAATAATGTTATTGCCTTTCTTATGTGCTCCATACAAAGACAGTCATACTCTGCTTGAAAGCTTTTGATTGCTTTCACACTGTATATCACAAATATAATTTTTTTTAATTTAACCCGTATGCCATAATTCTGTCATTTTGACCTAGAAAGGAAAACAAGAAAACAAGAAAACTGACCCCCCCCCCCCCCCAAAAAAAAATATATTTTTTCCCCTTCAAATAATAATTTTAGTACTTTGGGGGATTTCCCCCACCTTGTTAAATTTGTGGTGCTATTGGTCAAAAATGACTGGCCTATAAAAAATTGCTTTAAATTTCTCGTTATGCTAAATTATTACCAAATTGGGGATTTAAACTTCTTATCAACTTGTTTTCTTTGAGTTACCATAGGCCTCGCTGATCTGAGTGCATGCACCTTAGTTTTTGAGTGAACATTGCCAAAACTATCCACAAATAATGCAATTTCACTCAAACACCGAGTGGCAAGGTCCAAGAAGAAATGCAAATCATGTGCTAATTGAAATAAAACAAGTTGACAAAACAAACAAACAATAAAGAATACAAGATTTGGTGATAATATAACATAATGAGAGATTTACAAGCATTTTTTAAGTTATTGTTTTCAACCGGGAACACAAAATTAGGTAAAGGATTTTTTGGGAAATGTGGATCTGAATATAGATGAGCTATAATAGTGCAACTGCCATAAATATTCAAGAACCACAGGTGTGTATGCATGCATCCTGCTGCATACGGAAAAAATAAGAATTCATACATATTGATGTAAAAGAATATATACAGCACAAACAGTATATTCCTGTTTTGAGCCAGGTTGTATTTTAAGTTGTGCAGATGTGTTGAATGCAATTTCTTTTAAACACTCCAAAAACACATTGTCATAACTCAAAGTGTATCATAATGTAATTACTATAATATTTCTGAAATGTATTTCCATAGTATAATTGTCTCGCTCACATTAACTTTTTCATCTCTATCCATATTCCTCTCCTGCAGCAATATGAAAACTGGAGACCGAACCAGCCAGACAGTTTCTTTTCCTCAGGGGAGGATTGTGTGGTAATGATCTGGCATGAGGATGGCCAGTGGAATGATGTTCCCTGCAACTACCACCTCACCTTCACCTGCAAGAAAGGCACAGGTGAACTTTTAGCACCTGGATGAGGGGCATTTCTAAAATAATAGGGCATGCATAGGCATACATTTATTTTCAGTCTAAATTCCATCAGTGGTTTTTAAATAAAATGTTGTATAATAGGGACTCTGTGAAAATTTGGATGACTGCTGTACGCTAAGATGATATGTATTTGGTTGTTTATAGACAGGAAACGAGCAGTTTTCTTGGATTTGTCTCCAGTGGTTTAAAGCAGCTAAAATTTTAAAATAACATTTCAGATTCAGTCCTCCATTACTGATGGCTACCCTATTATGTGCCGTTTTCAACAGTGTCCTGCAGTCAGCCTCCTCTTGTCCTTAACGCCCGCACATTTGGCCAGCTGCGCCCACACTATGAGATCAACTCCCTGATCAGGTACCAGTGCATGGACGGCTTCATCCAGAGGCATGTTCCCACTATTCGCTGCAGAGGAGACGGCTCATGGGACTTGCCCAGGATTTCCTGCATGAGTCGTATGTATTCTGTGAAAATCTATCACAACAGCACTTTTTTACAAGAACCATCCCTATAGAGCTTGAATGATCATTTTATATACTCTGGTTTAAGTACATATATATATACACTACTATTCAAAGGTTTGGGTTGGTAAGATTTAAAAAAATGTCTCTTATGTTCACCAAGGCAGTACATATACAGTACAATACAGTAAAAACAGTAATATTATGAAATATTATTGCAATTTAAAATAAATGTTTTTGGTTTTAATATATTTTGAAATGTTATTTTTTCCTGTGATGGCAAAGCCGAGTAACTCAAGTCTTCAGTGTCACATGATCCTTCAGAAATTATTGTAATATGCTGATTTGGTGCTCAAGATGTGTATTATCATCCATGTTAAAAACTGTTGAGCTGCTTAATGTTTTGTGTGAGAAAAAAAAAAGTACTGATCCCAAACTTTAAAACAGTAGTGTGCATATATTATATATTTTTATACATTAAAGTTATACAAATATTTTAATTTAATGTACTTGTATTTTCTTTCCAGCCTCCAACTTCCAAAGGTCCTATGCAAGGTATCAGACATACAGAGTTTTTCGCAGTCATCAGAAGAGATTGGCAGAAAATTCTGTTGATGTACCCCAACGACACCATCGCCATGGTGTAAAACACAATTGGACGCAACAATAGTTGCTCTTTTAACACAACCAGTTTAATGTATTTTGATAGCATATGACGGATCTGCCTGCTGGCTGAAAGAAAAGATTATAAAAGAAAAGATTATTAAAAGGACCAGCAAGGAGTGGAATATCACTGGAATGAAACAGTGGCTTTTTATCTTTTTCAGAGAGATGGTTTTTAAGAACTACATAAAGGACACATTCAGCTGGCCTCTGAAAACACAAAAAGATTATCTGACCTGCCCTCCATCTGTTCTGCTTCTTTTGGGGAATACACAGTGCTTTCGTAATTTTTAACTCTCAATCCAGATGCAAGTGAGCTATAATAGTGCAACCTATTTTAGCTTCTAAACATAATGGTACATTTTGATACACACTTTGCCGTATGATTCTTTCGATCTTTCTTCAAGTTTACAAGAACCACAGGTGTATGCAGACATCCTGCTGCTTACTGAACAAATGAGAAATCGTACATAAGAATGTGAAAGAATATATATTTATATAGAGAGAGTGAGCAATGGCTCACATGGAGTCAGTGTCTGTTGTGGTACAAAAAGGCCAATAATATCATAAAAAAACTGCACCCAGTGCAGTGGATGTTTTTGATATCTTAAAGTCAACACAATATGTTTTAATACTTTTAATACATTGACTTTAAGCTATTCGCTATTGAAAAGCCATGCAGATTTTAGATTATTTATAGTCCTCTCTTTGATGTTTCTTTCAAGTGTTTACAATGCAAATCTGTTTCACATACATTTAATTCCGCCGTCAGTTATCTCTAAACCAAAAGAAACTTGCTGTATGTACTTCACATAATTTTCATCAACTTTCATGTTTTTCTCAGACAGTTTAAAACTACTTTAAAGAGAATGTACTTTGTGAGATGCGTAAAAGACTTGAGCGAGTGTCTTTTTAACAAGATGCCTATAATTTATTTCTTGAGCTGCTCCTTGTTTTCTCATTGTTGTAGCGAGATTGAACATACTGAGGACTTCACTTGGCCAAACTGCACATTGATAGAGTTCAGTATATTAGAGTAGAGGACAGTGTGTCAATAGCTGGCAGTGATGTGACTAATAGATGACATTTGGAATTCACAGAATTTAGATGGATTTCATTATGACATTTGGTGTATATCAATGGATCAAAAGAAGAGGATTCATAGTAACAGGTTTAGCAGAATTTTTAGTTGAACTGGTCATCCATTTGTTTATTCTCAAGCATTTTTTCTTTAAGATCTTTTCTTTTGTGTGTTTACTTGTTGTGTCTGTTTTTATTATTTTTTTATTTTACAATTTTTTCACCCTCTCAAAAGTGCACATCTTTTTATATTTATAGTATAACTTGTTTATTGTCAAATGTGATTGTCTGGAATGTTTGTGAAATGGAAAAATTGTAAGGAATGTTTTTTTATGCCTTCTGTGTAAACAAAGTTTATTATATTCTACTTGCATTCCTGGTCTTTTTGTGTTCTGATATGAAGTGAATTTTGGCCTATTGGAAGGGCTTAATGATAGAGAGAGAGTAGTTAAAAATATGGGGTGCAATTTGAAATATTTTTACATTGACAAATCTAATATTTAATATAACATTAATCTATATAACAATATAATAAAATACACAGTGACAGGAGTAAGCGGACTGTATGTTTAGTGTAATTATAGTATCATCAGCAGTGCCTAATGTTGACCAGCAGATGGTGTTGGTTCACTAACTTAAGAACACGTGAACGCCTGAATAATTCTACCAGATATCATTACTGTAAATTATGTTTTGTACAACTGAAATTCACTTAAACATTAATACCATACCAATTTTTAAAACAGCACATTATAGTAATACGCTTTAAATATAAGAAAACACATTTGGATACTATTTTTGGTTACTTTTATTTAGTTTCTATGAAAAGTCAAAAGGACATAACCAAACACAAAGAAGCCTAAAAAGGTTTGTTCTCTCCCTCTCTCTCTCTCTCTCTCTCTCTCTCTCTCTCTCTCTCTCTCTCTAGCTCTCTCTCTCTCTCTCTCTCTCTCTCTAGCTCTCTCTCTCTCTCTCTCTAGCTCTCTCTCTCTCTCTCTCTCTCTCTCTCTCTCTCTCTCTCGCTCTCTCTCTCGCTCCGCTCTGAGAAAGACATACACTCTTAGGCCCAATCCCAATTCTATTTTATAGAATCTCTCTCTCTCTCTCTCTCTCTCTCTCTCTCTCTCTCTCTCTCTCTCTCTCTCTTTTCATGGTTACGGTCAAGTTAAACTTTGGAACATAGATTTGGGTTGGATTGTGTGATATGTTCTTGGTTGGGTTTTTTTCAAGCATTTATACAAACATTTATTCTAAAGAAAGTTCACCTTTCCTATAGGCTCAAAACAACAGCAGCAGCAACAACAAAAGAATACTTGTAAAAATAAGTTTAAAGGGGTCATATGATGCTGCTAAAAAGAACATTATTTGGTGTAAAGAAATGTTTATGCGGTTTAAGGTTAAAAAAAACACATTATTTTCCACATACTGTACATTATCGTTTCTCCTCTATGCCCCGCTATTTTTGAAACGCGCCGATTTTTACAAAGCTCATTGGTCTGAAAAAGCTATGTGTGCTCTGATTGGCCAACTATCCAATGCATTGTGATTGGCCGAATACCTCAAGCGTGTGATGGAAATGTTACGCCCCTTACCATATTGTGATGCCCTGTCTGGCCGGAGCGACGAGACAAAAACATTAAAACCCATTATAAACGAGGCATTTGTTGCATCCAGTGGGGACATAATTATGGATTATAATGACTTATACGGTCTTTTTACACGTTGCGTTGCATCGCGCCGCGTCAACATAAAACTATGTCTGCATTTGTGATCGGAGAAATGACAAACAACAAGCGCTACTCTACACTGCTCAAAACTCGCGTTTGAATCGTCAGTGGCAAATTCTTTAAATATAAAAACGTACTTACAGTCTGTGAGTCAGAACAGCCGGCATTGTAGTCTAGCTCAGGAAACAGTCCTCCATAAAATGCGTTGCACACATCTGAATATTTGGGTTGAACTGTTCTGGAACAGTGCTGTATATACAACTTAACCACTGATTTCTAGTTGTGTCCTCTTTTGGAAGACCAAACAAAGTAGTTTCACTTTCACAACGAAACACACAGCGTCACACACGGCGGGCTAGAGTGAGCGGCGGCCGGAGGCCTAGAGTGAGCAGAGGCTGGCTTGAGTGAGCCGTGGCGGGCTTGAGAACGGCGCGGCCGGCGGATTCGACAAAGGAGTGGCCGGCGGACTTGCGGCAACCACATGTGACGACCCCGGGCTGGACTCCACTTCGTCCATGGTGAAAGCCGATCCGGCGATCCACTGCGCGAAGTTGATGTATTTCCTCAGCAACCAGCACGGAGAAGCTCCAGGCATGACAAAGCAGATATCGTCCTCTTTCGGAAGGCCAAACAAAGTAGTTTCGCTTTCACATGAAACACACAGCATCTTCTAGACATGGCGGCAGCAACAATACTACAGCGAGAATAAAAGTTACACCTTCTTTCTTTGCGTGAACATTTGGGTGGTGTTATGCAAATCTTCCTACATCGTGATGTAGACATGTGGGGGCGTGTTAGAACGAGCCGTTTTAGGTAGGTGTGGTTGACTCTTAACTTTTATAAAGAATATCTCTTTGGATATGAGACTTTAGTCTTTTGCAACTTTACAGATCTTCTTTATGCACCAAGAGCTTGTAACACTTCAAAGAGAAAGGACAAATTTAAATCGCATCATATGACCCCTTTAAAATTAAAACTAAGACTGGCAGCAAGAAACTATGATGAGGTACACTTGTACCAGGATTCTGCTAGGACACCTGTTTGAATTGATCATACATCCACCATGACCTTGAGATATAAGCATAATTTAAGCATAATTTGTTGAAAGAGAATATTGGCTTGATATTTTGTTTACTATTGTTACAATGTTTAGATATTGCACTTCGTGTACAACATGGGATCTCTTGTCAAGCTGAATTTGTTGATTATAGTTTTGTAAGTACATTACGCAATGTAATGCAGAAGGACAAACAGAGACAGACTTTTGATGTGCCTTGTGTTTTTGTAGTCCCATTGCCATATTTAATTTGATATGAATGTATTTCCCTGCTGGTACCACTGTGTCATTGTTCATTAATACTGATGGTTTTCTCATTTAAGACTTCAAAAACATGTTGTTATCATTTATTTATTTATTTTTAAACTACTTAATTCATGTTAAAAAGGACTGAATTAGTCACAGAACATTGTATAATTGTAGCAGTCTTTTTCTGCAAATGCTTCCAAGGCCTCTCATAGATCTAAAGTCGAGATATATAGAGCTATTCTAAATAATTTAATAAAAAACCTCACATGTGCACACACACACACACACACACACACACACACACACACTTCATGATATTGATGGATATGCATAATAGTTTAGATAGATGGAGTGCAAAAAATATTTGTACCATGAAAAGAACTCTTCTCAAAAGCAGCAGAGTACTGTATTAGATATGCAATATGTTGTTAATTTCAAGTTAAGTTGTGTTAGGAAATGAAGGCCATGCGTAGCCAAACTGGCATTCATACTGCAAAAAACTTTTGTGTTCTCAGCATCTGGACCTTAAAAATCCATGGTTATAGGCATTGTAGAAATATCACAGTTTAATGGAGAATGAAACAAAAGCCATTACATTTTTATGGGTTTTATTTTTCATTTAAAATTTGATTCTTAAACCATACAATGCGTTTCAGATTTTTCAAAAAAGAAAATATATTTTGTGGATAAAAAAGAAACTCAAGCAAAATGTCACTTATGTGCACTGTGGCTTCTGCAGTTCAAAGCAAAGTTATAAGTGGAGAATATTTTCCCCTCCCATAAACAACATATTTCAATACAAAGTGGCAAGTAATAGATGTTACGTTCATCAGTAAACAGATCTCATTGTCTTTGTCTGAAGACACACTGCCTGTCACAACATTTCCAATGTTATCGTTCAAACTTGGGCACGATTTTGTATATGGCTTTTAGTGCTGTTCCTCTTTTTGCAGAGAACAGTGGAATTACAATATCATTCATTTGAGACTTGTTCATATCTACACTTAAGCAGTTAGGCTTAAGCTGAAATGTTGAATATACAACTGGTCCTCAAAGAATCTCTCAGTGTAAATTCTGTTTGTAGTTCTCTGCCATATAACAAAGTTCAACGCATCATCATCAGTTTGTCAAATTCTGTCTGTCTGTGATGAAATACTTGTGAAAATATATGCAGGGAGAAACACATTTAAACAAGAAAAATTAAAAATTAAAAATACACATTTAAAAAAGGGTAAACATGAGGAATGAATGTTACAGTTAAACAATGGGTGAATATTTAAAGTATATTCATATAGTTGTTATAAAGCATTGTAAAACTAAGGGCCAGACACATTCATTTGATATTTCAAACAGATAATATAAGATCACAGTTCAGAGCATTGGATGATACACCAACACATGAAATAACAAAATACATAGTTTTAAAGAAATTAGCATTTGAGTAAGATCACACAAGTTTATAGGAAAAGAAAGGTGTCAGGTCTATTTTGCATTTCAGTTTGGTCAAGTTTCAAAAACGTTGTCAAGTTTATACTATTCAATAATATTTAAATATTTTATTGCAATATCGCAATGGAGATCCTTGACAAACTTTAGATAAAAATTATGTGACTAACTTTTCTTCCCGCTAAATATCCTTCTTGAATGCAATTTGTGTTATTCTCGTTGCTTCATTGTTCATACATATGGTGTACAAATCTATATAAATTGTAAATGATAGGTAAAATAACTGTTTACATTAATATTCAGAATGTTGCAGTATGAAACTGGTTTTTACAGTATCCTTTCTATAATTGTCACAGTTATGGCTAGTTCATGCAAAAAGTCGTTCATAAGTTTGGATGTGGAAATCTGTGTATTGCTGCTCTTTGGTTGGTGATGTGACATGAAGCGCTTCACGGCTGAGGTTTGTAGCAGTAGACTCCGTACAGCTTCTGCTTTTTGTCGGGGAAGCCAACAAAGCGAACTGCAGCCTCCGTGGGACTGCAGTTCATCCTGGGCCTGGAGATAGGGTAACGAACGCTACCGTCGGCCAGCCAACCAGCATCACAACGGTCGTATCCCAGCAGCTTCCAGGCAGAGTATATATGGCCCACCTTTGCGATCTCAGCTCCATCTCTCTTACACGCGTCAACAGCCTCATCA